ACCTCAACAAGCGCCACGGTGCCAAGGCGGCCGTACAGTAGTAATATGACACGCCTGTGTGTACTAACAGCCTTTACACACAATGCCATTACACATCACCGGGACGTGGCCGCACCACGCTGCAAGATCCTTACGCATTAGGAGGGCTGCCCCGCTCGGGGGCACTAGCGGACGTGCACGGGCGCGTCGCACCGCATAGCCACGGAGGTCGCATGCTCCAGCAGCCAGCAATCCCCACAGATAAGTCACCGCGTGACAATAGACAGACGAACGTTCACTATGTTCTAATTCCTACCGGCCCCCGCGAGGGAATTACGCCCTCGAGGCCAAGTTTCTAAATACAGCTGCGATATGACGCCACTTAATTTTTACATATTACTAATTTATATATATATATAATATATAATATCATTACGATTCATTATCAGAGGCGCGCGATCGTACGCGTGCGATCGGCTGGCGCGATGCGTTGCGCAACTTCACGGAGTTTCGACCAAATCGCGATGAATTCTTCTTCGATCGACGCCGATGTCTGCCCCGGATATAGGCACGAGCGCTCTAGCTGAAGAGGAAACCGCCGCATTGCGGGGCAGCAGCGGGGCGGAAATAAGAAAACTGTCGCTAGTAAAAAAATAAAAGCGCGCGCCCCACGCAGACGATATATAGGTGGCGACAGTGTGAAGGATTTAACAACAGCAACGTGCTTGCAACGAAGGCTGACGTCGGCATCGGACGAATGAATATCTCAATGAATGACTTTCTCGATTCGTACGTTACGACCGAGCCTCGAGTGCGCATCCTAGGACATAACTCAACTTGCATTTTCGGCTGGGCGAACTTGGGAAACATTTGTGTACACGCGCACAACGCACCGCACACGCGCGGCGCACGACAGCCCCGCACGCAGGCACGCCACACACACACAGCATACACACACACACGCACCACGGGGCCGGGGAATCACGCACACACACACCACACACACACAATACACACACACACACGCACGCACGCACGCATACACAGCAACTTAGCAATGGGTATAACGGCAGTGCATTTCACATTCTTTATCATCACAACTCTAATCACATGCAATTACACCTATTGAAATTCGTAGTTTAATCACGGTTGCAGAATAAACCTAATGTAAAATTAAACAAATAAAACCCTAAATGGAATTTATTCAGCTGGTATGCATGTTACGCTCATAACTTATGAAGCGTAACAGGCACGGTTCGTTTTATACATGCTGCTAATAGATATCACCCAGGGTGAATAAGACCGATTATGACTGTCATTATTTATCCGCTGACTATTACCAATACCATACTAGCACTACACGCATTACAATAGGGATCCGCGTAGTTAACAATGACAACTGGTTGCGTTTCCAGACAAACCATGCGCAGATTTCTCCTGAGGAAATTAGAGCAAGGAGGTAAGTGGCCCAGTTTTGGAAAGAATGGGCGCATGATGGATTTAAATACAGGATGTATTGATATACTTATAGGTCGATAGATTCAGGAATATAATTATCAGTAAATACAGGAATATTTGTCACAACGGCGATGCTTTAAATTTGACACCGGACGGTTGGCGCCACATGTGCTCCTATGTATATAGAAAGACCTGCATCGTAATCACTCGGGCGCAAGAACACTCCGTGCAGCTTACAGCAGCACAGGCCACGGCCATTGTCTATATATATATATATAATATATATATATATATAAATATAACATCATATAAATGATGTTATATTATAGACAATGACCGTGTGTGTGCTGTAACGCTGCAGAACGGAAGTGGTTCTTGCTGGTGCCAGTGCATCGTAATACGAATTATCAGCAGCAAGTAGTATTTTATTTTTAATTTTTTTATATTGTTCCTTTTTGTATTATTTTTTTTAATACTATGCATCTACTCCGGTAATTATCGTTATATAAATATAGCATTACATGTCGGTATAGCGAGATTAATCAGCTGATTATCAACCTGGCTCTAACAGTTGCCCTCTGCTTTCTTAGCCGCTCGATAACGGCGGGCATCGCTTAAACGACATCGCAGCTACTTGCAGCGCCCGCACGTGCACACCCACGCACGCACGCTTGCACGCACCGCACGCAAACGCAACGCACCACGCACGCACACACACACACACAACACACACACCACACACACACAACACACACACACACCACACACACACAAACACGCGCGCGCCACGCGCCCGCGAACCATACACTCAACATTTTTCATTCACACGGCTACATACAAGCAGCGCGCACACGAACACACACGCACGCACACGCACGCACGTACACAACAGTGATCCATTAGCAACTACTAGGCTTACCACACCCATCACTTTTAGCGCTCAGGCTGCGCAGATTAACGCTTCAGTTTTTATAAGGCAAAGATCGCTTTACTCAGCCCGTAGGTCAATGGATTGCTATATATTGTGTGCGCAGTTAGCGTTAGTTCCCACACACAGGTCATTAGCACAGAAATTATTGGCAAACGTCGGGCGAGAACGCAACACGATTACTGATGCGCTCTGGCGGCGCACTTCTGCTGCTCTCTCTCTCTCTCTCATCTCTTTCTCTATGCTCTCTCTCTCTTCTCTCTTTCTTCTCTCTCTCATACACGAATACATGGCGCACAGCAGCTATGCTTTGCTTTATCTCGGGCGCGCAAACGGAACACTTCGCAAACTGGAATGAAGCGGACTCGTGCTGAAACACACCTGCTGTTCGCGGGGCGTAGGTCAATCAGGCCAGAGTGGCCTTGTGCTGTTTGTAGACGCATCTAAATAGCTGTGTAAGCGGGTGGCGGTCTTGCCAGAGCGTATTAGATGAGCGATGTGAAATTATTAGGGGCAATGCCCGCAACTCCGCTGCAGGCGCTGGTGCACGCTATGGCGGCACGCACATGCCGCTCTCAGCGGAAAATGAGTTTTGCTTCTTCTATTGATCCCCTTTTTGTCCACGCGTCGAAAATGAACGGGCGGAGGAGGAACTGCTGCGTTTGCTCGTACAGGAGAACTATATTTAGTCAATTCCGCAGTCGGTGTGGTCCGTCTCTTGTCGCTCGTCTGTTTGTCTCTTTGTCTCTGACGTTTGCCTCTCTCTCTCGGTCTGCTCTCTCTCTCTCTCTCTCTCCTCTCCTCTCTCTCTCCAGTTTCTCAGGTTAAAAATGTGCCATTTCCCAGTTAATTAAAATCGCAATTTCGGCCCCCTGTGTCCTGGTTGCCTTCTATTCCCGAATAACGAAAAATGTATTACGTATAGATGTGTTCTTTTTTAGACGTAGGAGTATGGCTAGAAATTCAACCCGAATCAAACTGTCACACTAAACAACCACTTACCGGGAAGGTGGCACGTAAAGTAGAAGTTAGAAGTTGCTGTCAACACAATTATCATTTTAGATTTGGCACCTGGCATGTGGGCAGCATGCTGTAATTTGGAAGGCGATGTCATTTGAATTGATTAAGTTTGCCAAAACCTTGCACACTGTACAGACATACACCATCATGTATATTCTTTCAGATGGACGAGTAGCCAAAATGATGAGGAACTTAATTGCTGAATTATCATGAGACAAGTGGGTGATATAGTCTATGCCTAAGTCTCTAGCATTTATTATACAATGTAATAAGCAATTTCTAACATATTCAATCCTGAAAGTCCAGGCAAAAGGAGTGATCACAAATGTGTGTAAAGTGCCAAGGATGAGCAAAACGAAACTTCTGACTATTAGTACTGTAGGCTTAGTTTTACTTAGCAAGCCTAACCTTGCAGGATGGATAAGCAAGATTGAAGCTGCATAACAGCATGTCAGTTAGACAAACAGTTTAAATAACCAGTGTGCACACAGAGGGCATGGCTTAGCATTGACATCAGGAGAAAAGGTAGCAAGCATTGACACATCATATAACACCAGATTCCTGATAACATCATCAGGAGTGCATGAATAGCATCCTCTATTCATGTCCTCCTGATATCATGAACATTAGGCATACCATCACTATATTATAGCATACACATCAAGAGCACATAATAGAGATTATGTGCTCTTGATACACATATATATGCTCATAATTGTACATATAAAGTCAAACCTGTGTTAAAGTCCACCTCTTTAGAAAGGCCACATGTCCGTAAAGGCCTAGTACAAGCCGACACAGACCCCAGTAATAATAAACCCGCGCACCCTCAGATTAGCAAAGTGGAGTTATAACGTCTGCATTTGCGGACTAGTAAAGGCCATGCAATAGCTGTTTACCATTATACTCAAGTGGCTGTTATATAGAGGTTTGACTGTATCATACATGTACAATTCAAATAGTTACATATTCCTATGTATGTGCATGCTGTAGCCTACATTTGCAAAACAGTCTATAATACATTCAAATCACAATATAAAAATGAGTGACATTGACAAGAACATATTGCTGTAAAGTGTAGGCCCTATCATGTTTCTGCTCAATGACAATGACAATGGCTAGCAATACACAGCTAATTGTGATTTCGTGTGTATAACACAATGACCGAGGGCATAGGCCTATATCTATCTTGTGAGTGTAGATATGGTCATAATACTCATATTAGTATTATCAGGAGTTAATAAAGACAAACTTATTGTCTTTATTAATAAAGACAAATTATTCTTGACAAAGACAAAATAAAGACAAAGTCTTTATTAATAAAGAGAAACTTGTCTTTATTAACTCCTGGTATTATATATGTGTAGTTGTGTATGTACGTGTTATACATACGGCCGTGGTTATATGTATTCATAAAAATATATATCCTCATGGTCGTTGACGACGTTAGCCTGAATTTTAGCCCGTTTAGTCTACGTTTAGTTTTAGTTTTACGTCTGCTGTAGACCGAATTTAGAATTAATCGCTACATTACAAACACAATAACAGTCGTTTATCAACGGTACATTATTACACATTAAAATAAACCAATATCTTACATAAAGCTGGTTATTACCTTAAAGACTTCCAGTGGCAGTGTACCGAACGAAATATAGTCAGCTAACGCGTGAATTAGCATAAGAAAAACACAGTAGCAATAGTTTAAAATTCGCGTGCGCCAAGCCTCAGCACAGATGAGAATAGCGGGCGCCATCTGCTGGCCAGTTCGGTTAATAAAATGATACAACTTCTATATACTAACTAGATTATCTAACTGCATGTGCAACGTGAGTTTATTACAACGTGCGTGCGTGCGCGCGCGAGTGCGGGTGCATGCGTCCGTGCGTGCGCGCGCGCGTGTGTTTGTGTGTGTGCGCGTGCGCGCGCGTGTGTACGTGCGTATGTGCGTACATGTAAAAAACTTTTTTGTTCGAAAAAACTTTTTTGCTCGAACGAACTTTAAAAAATATTTTCTCACTCATATATATTTAAAAGCTTCGTGCCCTGCATGACGATGTGTTGGTGCCCCTCTTTCCCTCTTTTTTTGCTCTCTTCTCTGTCTGTTAATCTGCGCGTGTCTGCCTGCTTGTCTGTCAATAGAGCGTGTAATGTGTTAATACCAGAAAGAGCGCTATTAGGAAAGCACCTGCCAGTAGCCATATCTTTCTTGTCCAGGATCGTGAAGAAGTTCTTGCCATGTGCAGCAATGTCTTCCGGCGTCGGTATTTTGTAATGTTCTCGCCTTATGGCCGTGTTCAAGTCACGCGGATCTAGGCAGAGTCGTAGATAACCGTTCTTTTTCTCCACTATCACGAGACTGTTCACCCAGTCTGTGCATGGGCTCCTCCACGGGGGTTATGCATGACACCTTCTGCCTCCATTCTGTCCAGGGTGTCCTTCAGCTTCCGTTGAAGGCTGAAGGGAACCTTCCTGGACGGGTCGTGAACTACTGGTTTGATGCTGGGGTCTAGCTCAATTTTATATGTTCCTTCAAATTTCCCGAGCCCTTTAAACACACCCTCATATTCTTTCATGACGAGAGAAAAAGAGAACGAGAGAGAGAGAGAGAGAGAGAGAGAGAGAGGAGGAGGAGGAGGAGGAGGAGGAGGAGGGGCTGGAGTGTGAGAAAGAAGAAAGAAATAGAGAGATTTTCTCAGTATAAAAATGTCATTTAAAAAAAATGAAACTAAAGTAAGAGGAATCTAAAAGTAGTTTAGTCTGAGCTTCGGACACGAACGCCCTAATTTATCGCAAAATTAAATAAAATTTAATTCACAAATTACAATGTTGGTTGGCGCTAGTGCGCATGAATATTAATTGTATACTGCCAACACTCTGCTGCCAAATAACACACGCACAAGCGCGCACACACAAGCGCATGCATGCCCGCACGTATGGTGTGTATTCTGTTTCATAATTCGATTCAAATTCATTCGATGCGTGAATCGAATGATTCGATGCATCATTCGATGCGTGAATCGAATCATTCGATTCACGCATCGAATCATTCGATGCATCATTCGATTCACGCATCGAATCATTCGATTCACGCATCGAATCATTCGATTCACGCATCGAATCATTTGATGCATCATTCGATGCGTGAATAGAGAGGGTGGTTAAGCACTGGTTATATGTATCTCATCAAATATAATGATACTCCTCATGTGTCGTTGACGGACGTTAGCCTGAATTTTAGCCCGTTTAGTCTACGTTAGTTTTACTAGTTTACGTCTGCTGTAGACCGAATTTAGAATTAATCGCCTACATTACAAACACACATAACAGTCGTTTATCAACGGTACATTATTACACATTAAAATAAACCAATTCTTACATAAAGCCGGTTATTACCTTAAAGACTTCCCAGTGTACCGAACGAAATATACGTCAGCTAACGCGGTGAATTATCATCCCACCCAGAAAAGAACACCGCACGGCTCACCGCACCAGTAGTTAAAGCCATTCCCGCCGTGAGGCGCGACCAGCGCCCAGCTTCCAGGCGCAGCAGATGCCAGGAATAGGCCGGGCCGCCCGATCTGCTGGCCCCCCAGGGGTTGGCGGGGGTTAGAGTAAACATGATAGCCCCAGGGACTTCTATAGTCGGCTCAACTAGATATCTCACCTGGGCGAACTGTGCAACGTGCGAGTCTCTATTACAGCGACCGTGTGCTGGCGTGCGGCGGCCGCGGAGTGGCGCGGGCTGCATCCGCGTCGTGCGTGCGGCGGCGGGCCGCCAGTGTCGTTTTGTGTGTCCGCGGGCGCGGCGTGCGGCCCGCGCGCCCCGGGGTGTGTACGTGCGTATCGTGGGCGCGCGTGACATGGTAAACGGAACTGGCTTGGGTTGTGTGTCGAAAAAGAACTCGTCTCTTGCTGCTCGAACGAAGTTCTTAAAGAAACTATTTTCTGCAGCCGCCGTCATCATGCTACTGGTTAAAGAGTCTGTCCGATGGCCCTGCTGACCGGATCCCCGCTCGTTGCGTGGCGGCGCGCTCTTGTCGCCCTTCCTCTTCTTTCGGCCTCTCCGTGTCTGGCGTGTCGTGTCGTAGATCCTGACCGCGGGTGTGGGCGCGTGGCCTGCGTGGGTAATTCGCTCTGCGCTCGGATACGAGCCGGTGTCAGTGTGCCTTACTGACGCGAGAGAAGGAGGCGCTTATTAGCGAGAAGCACCGTAACCCTGCCGGTGCGGTGTGCGCCTGCGGTGCCCTGTCCGACAGAGCTGTACTTCACTGCCGCGCCGCAGGCGTGCCTGGTGCTATGGGCTCGGCTCGGCACGGGGTTATGCATGTTACAGCCGCGGCCTTGCTGCCCGGCCTGCGCATGTCTGCCCTCGCAGGGTGGGTGCCTTCGCACGCCCTGCTCGCGGGTTCGAAGGCTGAAGGAACCGGTTCATGACCGGGTTCGTACGGAGGACGTACTGCGGGTTGATTGCCCGGGCGCCCACGCTCAAGTTTGTATGATGTTCCTCTCAACGAATCTCTCCCCCGAGCGCGCTTTAATGACAGCGGGCCGCGCACGCCACCCCGTCATATTCTTTCATGACGAGAGAAAAAGAGAGAGCCGCAAGATGGGAGAGAGGGGGAGGGAGCAGGAGAGGACGAAGGAGCGAGGACGGACTAGCGGAGGGGAGGGGAAGGGGAGGAGGAGGAGGAGGAGGAAGGAGGAGGAGCGGAGCGGAGGGGGAGCAGGGATGGCGGGCCCGCTGGAGTCGCTGAAAGAGGAAGGACAGACCGAATAGAGAGCCATCTCTTCTCGAGGTCGATACCCAACCCGATGTCAGTTCGGTAAAGAAATAATGGAAACTTACAAGTAGGAGAGGAATCGCTACAAGCTCGTCTACGTCGTGGGAGCTTGCGGACACGAAACGCCGGCCCCTAGGAGTCTTGGATCGCAAGCATTGTAAAGTGGAGAAGAGGTTTAATTCACGGACAAGTTACAGCACTGTTTGGTTGGCGCTTCATGTGCGCATTCGCGAATATTAATTGTATACTGCCACACTGCTGCTGCCAGAAATAACTACACGGCCACAATGTCGCGCTACACACAGCGGCAGTGCGATGCCCGCCACGCACGCCACGCACACACACACAGCTGTCGCAACAAACACGAGGGCGACGCACCGATCGTATGTATGTATGGTATGTTATCGTATATATATATTATATAATATAATAATATAATATATATATATATATTATAGTGTCTC